AAGTTTGAAAAAGTTTTAGGAGCCTTTTTTAAAAGTATAACAAAATATATCACTTCGAAACTACGGATTTTAATTTGACTTAGCTGTTTCAACATAAGCCGATACAGTTTATTAAAAACATACAAATCACAAACTTTTCAAACATAGTAAAACATTTTTAACTCAATAAAAAATATATATGCTTATGGCATTTTGGAAAGTAGCTCCATCAAACACGGACCAGATAAAAACAAATTTTATTTTATGAAACGGAAAATAAACCGACAGAATCTACGACGAATACCACAAATACAAAAAAAGAACAATTTTTTTAAAGAAATTCAGCTGAAAAAAAAATATTACCTTACACTAACATCCCCTAATTACAACCCAAATGATCGTATTTTTGTTTAAATTTTCAAGAAATTGAGCATGTCAGCAGTCAACTCAGTTCTGTTAACAAAGATTTTTACTGGGAAAAAAGACCAGTACCCGACTGCAATGCCCTAGCTTATCGCAAGGGTAATTACACGAACAATTGGATTTGAGAGAACTGGATCAATAGATGCTTTTTCACTCCACGAGAAAGCTCAAAAATAAAAAAAAAACACATTAAAAGTAACAATTATTGACTTTTTGTTATTGGAGATTTATTGTTATTGGAGATTTTGATATTATTTAGCAACTCAAACGCCGTATTGCAATTGGAAAAATTTCATGATGGATCAACTAAGTTTTAAACGCCCCCCCCCCGCCCCACTCTTTCAAATATGAAAAGAAACTGAAACTTTTCATTCCAAAATCCGTCAAAGTTAGGCTGGCTACTACTCTCTATTTTCTTGGTCAATTAGTTTTTACATTTTTGTATTCTTTGCTCAAGCAAGCTATATAACATAATGTAAGAATTCAATAAGATAAAATTACTTATCAAAATCTGTAGAAGTTTAAAGCTGCGGTTGGTAGTTTCTTTTCTTTTACCCATTTTCTGCTTTGCACAGAATGTGAGAATTTATCGCTCCCCTAGGTGGTTCAGGAAATTTTTTTAAACTAATGGGGTTAAACTTTGTTGCTTTTGGAAAGTTTGAGACTGGTTTTGAAAAAAATTATAGTCTAGATTGACTGGCTGTGTTGATTTTTAAGGGTTTTGTGGGTCCTTAGAACCTTCTTTTGTCTGAAGATAATTGCAAACCGAATAAAGTTGAATTTTGTTTTAAACTGTTTTCGAGGACGCAGAATTTTAATACTATTTAACTTTTCCATTAAACACGCCAACTGTTTTGTTTATTCCTTTTCGCAAAATGATTTCCATAAATTATGGGTCTTAGACCAATCAGGTTATTTTTTTTCCAATTTGCACAATGACGCGTCATGACCTTTCTAGATGCAGCGAAATTTCAGCCAAATAAATACCAATATTTTGCTGCACTGTTTTGTGCTCGTTTCATCGGCGATGTTATTTTGGACACTCGGAAAAAAATCAGATTCAAACATTTCCTTTTTCCACGCGCCGAGAAATGAGTTTTGCTAATTTTGGGTAAAAGAGCCAGTTATGTATGCCTCAGACGATAAACCATCTTACTACTAACCTTCAATATCAGATTTAGCTATTTGTTTTCAGGGGTAAAGACTAAATTTCTATAAAAAAATCAAAAATCAATTTTCTTGAAGTCCAAATCTGTATTTCAACAGAAAATTAGGGTGGAACAGTTAATGCAGGGAACATTTGAGCGATATGTTAGTTTTATTGAACTATCAACCTCAGAATCAGCCGATTACTTTTTGAAGAAAAAAAAAGTTTCCAAAAAACGGGCGAAATTTTAAAAATAGGTCATTTTCGAAGGCCATATATTTTTTTTCAAAAAGCAGGGCATAGCCGTTTGTGCAGGGAAGATTCACATAATTGATTTTTTGCTTCCCTTTAAACCCTTAATCTCTAATTTTGCAGGGTAGTTTTTGAGTAAAAAGTTTTAAAAATTGACCAAAATGACAAAAAACGGGCTTGCTTGAGGCCATAACTTTTTTCTACTGAATTTAGGGAACAACCAAATAAAAAGGGGGAGATACTCATGATTTGTTCTTTAAATTGAAATCTTTATGTCAAATATGTGCCTTCAATATTTGAGAAAATTAAAAAATTCAAAGCAAAAGGTCAAAAACTTGCGTTTGAAATTTTTGAAGGCATATAGAAGAGCAGCCAGTTTTCCAGTGGTACCATTTTTTGAAAAACGGTACGGCAGTTTTGGAAAAAAAACAAAACTGCAGCAAAACCGTCAAAAAGGCGAAAATTTTCCAAAGAGTCGCAAAAAACACCAAAGAAAAGAACAAATCTCATAAAATTTCATACCTGATTTTCATACAAAATCTAACACTAGCCAAAAGTAAAGCAACAATATATGCTATTAAATAGCCTAAGCTTATATAGGCTTAGACTTGATTAAATTGAAATATACCATAGTACCAACAAATGAACACTTTTATCTGCGATATAAGTTAGAAAAAAACTTCTTCGTAATAATAAGCTTGTGTAAAAATGAACTGAAATTACTTCATCTACAAAAATTTAATACGTTTGTTTCAAATAAAAATCAATTTAACAAAATGTGTCCATAAAAACTTACGCCACTGTTGTTTGTACGTCCCCGTTGGCAACCGGAGAAGTTTTTTGAAATTCTACATTCTTTAAAAAACGTATCACTAGATGACTAAGCCGATATAAATTGAGCCAAAATAATTTAACCTGAGCATACACTTTAAGCAAAAAAAATAGATCAGTAAAAATCTGTCTGGTATACTTAAACAATGTTCACGATTTTTGTGTTCTTTACACTTTTGCTGTTTGATAGTGGAGTTTGACTCTTATGTTTAAGGGAAATGAATTGAACTTAAATCAAAACAATGCCGAACCACAAAATTAATTTTGAGTGTGATTAAATTTTAAGACATTTTACAAAGAAAAACCAAGAACTATATATTTGAGATTAACTTCGCTTTTTTACGCTGAAAACGTCAATTTTAAAAATTTAGGGTTATTCAGTTTACGTAAGTCTTTTGAATTTTTGTAATTGGAGAGCAAAATTTTCGTAAAATCAACGCCGTACTAAAGAGATGATTTTTACGCCCTTCGAGTTTCCAGATTTTTTAGTCATTGCTGGTTGCTGGTTTTTTATTTTAAATTAACCAAGTTTTAGAAAACTGCAGCAAAAGTAAAGTTGAATATAGCCTACGGACAGTTAGACAAGTTATAATTGAGCATTTCTCAATTTTTGAAAAAAAATTATCACCTGCAATCTTTTTGAATATCAAATATCGTTTATCATCTATTTTTTGAAGTTATCCAATTTGGAAAAAAAGAAAGATAGACAATTTACTTTTTCTCTTCGAATTCAGAACAAGGAAGTCCACTTTTTGAAATTTAAGTCATTCACGTTTTCGTGTTCTTCAAAATAAAACGAACCACAAAAAATACTTTTGAGTGTGATCAAATTTTTAAACTTTTTCCTGAGAAAAAAAAACAAGAACTATATATTTGAGAGCCTTTTTGATTTTTTGCGCTAAAATATATCAACTTTAAAAACTAAGGGTCATTCAGTTTATTAACGTCTATTGAATTTTTGTAATTGGAGAGCAAAATTTTCGAAAGCTTAAGAAGAACAAAAGCCAGACAGAAAAACAAACAAACTTGAACCTTAAACAGGAACTGCACTTCGTTGATTGACAATTATTTTATTCAGATGTAATACTGCCATTTTTTTCAAATTCAACATAGCCAACATAGTTGTAGAAAAGGGAATTTAATGAACCCAAGAAAAAGCGATTAACATCGAATGGTTTTTTTCATTCAATTTTTGAATTTTAAAAATGTACATAAGGCGTGTAAGCTCTTTTTGAATTTTAAGAACAATACTTTTTTGTACCAGAGGCGAAACTGAGCTTCGCACCACTTGCGGTACAATTACATGTATCAAAATTAATGAAAATAATTGTGAAAAAAAAAACATGCCAAAACAACAGAACGCAAAATCAGAATCGGAACAAAATTAACCAAACGGTGACAAAGCCAAAAATATCTGAGCAAATCTTCAGGCCGAAAGGTTATTTAAATTCAAAAAAAATGTTAAACTTTCACGTCCACTTTCCCTTCATAACACACACAGGCACATGAACTTTTTTGCGCATGAAACGAGGCAAGGAGAGGCTACTAAGCCGGTGTAAAACAGGCCGAAACCTATTAAGCCGAAAATATTGAAAAACAAATGAAATTTCAACAAACCGAGAGCCAAAAAATGCAACCAGCTTAAAAAGTCGGAGGTGAACGTGAAAATTATGTTTCCCCTGAAAGGACCCAAAACTAGGTCATTTGGCTGATTAAAAATAGGCCGAAACAATTTGGGCCGAATAAAATTTTTAAGCGAAACAAAAAGGAAATACGAAGTCAAAGAAAGTAAAGTTAGATGTAGATCAAACACGAAAAGCATCATTCAAAACATGTGCGCAGCAAAAAAATGATTCCAAGATGTGGCAACTAAGTCGACATAAGATAAGCAGACAAATAATTAGCCGACTTTTTATTTGAAACTGAATATTTCGCGTTTGAAAATAAAAGATTCGATTCCAGGACCTTTGCCGTTCCAGGCGCATCGCGTATTACTCCACACTAAGGTTGCCAGAATTTATTATGCAGCATGATACCAAATGATTCTGTTAAGGTTGTTTACCCGAAAAAAATGCTATATTCCGATTTGATTGATAACGCTTGCAAAATGGATCAATAAGTTAAGTTTTTATCTCGCTAGAAAATCTGAAAATTAAATTCCACTTCCTAAACTATCAGTCGATCAAGTTTTTCTTGACCTTTTACACTTCACAGTTTGATAGTGGAGTTTGTCTTACTTTCAACAAAGGAAATAAACTAAATATAAAAGAAATTGTAAGTCAAAGCGCTAAAAATCAAAATTGACCTTGAGGTAGGCTCATCGACTCTTAAAAAGCAAAACTACAGAATTTCATTCTAAATTACATCCATAAAATTTTTTATTTACATCTTGTACAATATTCATATACACATTAATAACAACAGATGCTTTAAGTCTTAACTTGATTGCACATCCGAACAGAGAAAATGTGAAATATTCATGTTTCTCTATTTTCGTCGTTATCATTCAGCTCCTCCAAAGACGGCTTTCATACGACTGGCTAAAAACAAACCCCAAGTTTAACAATTTTGATGAAGCGTAACAAACGTCAGAAAATACTTTTACTTTCAATCCAGACATATCTACTTACAGTCATTTCCCCAACTGGGCTTATATGAACGCTCTGTTTTATCAATTTGCGCCTGAAACAATGAATACGCCAACCTACTATTTGTTTCCCACAAACCATTTCTAATTCATAAACACAAAACAACTTACACTTCTCACTGAGCGGTTGCTTAGTTCGATCTTTTCCGAAGAGTGAGGCTGAAACATGAGCGAAATATTAGATTTTGCATAATAACCAGCAAGTGGGTAACTAACAAGACCAACCACAAACTTCATGCATTTAAATATACTTTTTGAGCTTTGATGCTTTTTCAAATAAAAAACGCGTAGAAGCAGAAAAGAAATCAGATAGAAACAGTTTCTTCTCGATACAACTTGTTAGGTCAAAATAATTATTTGAAGACGTGCAAACTCTCATCCAATCAAAAAATTAGAAAAAAAACTAACAAGAGGCGAAATTGAAAAAGCCAAAAAAATATCTACCAAAATTTTCATACCTTCTTAATTTTTTCTTAAATAAAACTGATTTTAATGACAACATGCGAAGCAAGGCAATTGAATGTTAAAATATAGCCAACAGACAGTTCGAAAACAGAGTCAACAAATGCAAGTAAACAGAACAAACATACTAATTTGTTTTTTGTTTGAAAAATCTCAACCTCAGAACTTCAAAGAAAAAAGAGATGGCCTTAAAACTCTTTGAATTTCTAGAAAAATTTATTATTGACTTTTTTGACAAAACAAATTCAATTTGAAAAAAAAAAACTGGATCATCGGGTAATTTTTTTTTCTGCTGGCAAATCGGAAAAACAAAATCCATTTTTAAAACTAGAAGTAGATTTCATTTTTTGGGAGATATAATAAGTGTCGAAATCTTTCAAGTCGAATAAAAAGAAAAAAGAAACGAAAAAAAAACTGAAATGGGAGTTCGTACAGATGACGAGGAAAAGTTGCTGACTGCAACGCTTACAAAAAATGGAAAAAAAAACAGGTCGACAACTACGAGTGTAACGAAATCGACAGTTATGTAGACAGAACCCATGAAGCATTCAAAACATGTATACCAAATTATATCTACACAAAAGTTAAACTTCAATTCGCAAATACAAGCAAAAAAACAGCTCTGCAAGTCTTCGTAGGGCGTTTTCGAGCATTACTGCCCATTGCCCGCCATATGTATATCTCTCACAATTGCTTTCCACTGCGGCCTGTTCAGTGCAGTATCTCTGGCCAAATCGAACCAGCTTGCCTCCCAGTTCTTGTGGGTCATTTTTTGGGGTTTCAAGAATGGGCGGAGTTCCTTCTTCACTAACCGTCTCCACGAGTTCTTTACTCCACCGGGGGGTCTCTTCCAGTTGTCGGCTTTCTCAAATTCCAGGCATGCGTTGGGTATCATGTTGGGTTCCATGCGTAGGGTGTGCCCTAGCCATTTGAGGCGTCTTTGTTGTACGGTGGAACTCATGGTGTCTGTCGGAGCACCAAGGTTTCTCAGGCATCTGCAGTTGAAGGAGTCGAGGCGTTGAGTATCGGATGCCTTGACTGGCCAGGATTCACATCCGTACAGGAGCACGCTTTCGACACATGCTTTGTATACTTTCGATTTGATTCTGGTCGGGACTGATCTTTGTTTCCAGAGCTTGTCTAATTGTTTGAAGCGTCCTGTTGCTTTTCCGAGGCGGATCTGGATTTCGTGTGACACGTCACCATCGAGTTGCAGGTTGCTGCCTAGATAAGTGAAAGTATTCACCCTATCGATGGGGGCGTCATTGCAGGTCATTTGGTCTCCAGGATAAGCAGAGCAGAATTTCGTTTTGGATGTGTTTATTTCAAGACCGCCTTTTGCAGCGGCGCAAGTGACTAGATCAAGAAGTGTCTGTGCGTCTTTGATATTGTCTTCAGGTAAACAGATATCATCAGCGAAGTCTAGATCTGTAATTACCATATCGTCAAGGGCGATGCCAAGGGGTTGGTTTTCCGTTGCTTCGAGCAATGCCCAGTCGATTACAAGGTTGAACAAGAATGGTGCAAGTATCGAACCTTGTCTGACCCCTGAGACAATGGCAAATGGGTTAGATAGTGAGTTGTAAACCCTGACTGTACTAAACGTTTCTGTGTACATGGCTCTTAGGATTTGGAGGATTTTGGATGGGAGGCCGTGACTCTCGAGGATGCACCAGATTGTCTCGCGGTTGACGCTGTCAAACGCAGCTTTAACGTCAATAAATACGAGAACAGTCTGTCTATTGTATTCGTGTCTTTGTTCTACTATTTGTCTGATTGCAAATATTTGATCGCGACATCCGCGCTTCTTTTTGAAGCCAGCCTGGTTGTCTCTAGCAACTGTATCATAGGCTGGTTCGAGCCTGTTTTTAAGGATCGCCTCTAAGATCTTGAAAGCGATATTCAAGAGTGAGATGCCACGATAGTTTGAGCATTTGGCTTTGTCGTCTTTTTTGTGGATGGGGACTATGACTGCTGTCTTCCAGTCATTTGGAATCTTCTCCTCTTTCCAAATAAGTGAGAGAAGGCGTTGCAAGTGGGGAAGAAGTTCATGTTGGCCATGAATAAAAAGTTCCGGGGGGATATTATCATTTCCTGCTGCTTTGTTTGTCTTCAATTTTCTTATTGCGAGCGAGATTTCGTCCAAACTGGGTGTATCAGTGTTGATTTGTGAGAGGGCTTGGCTGCGAATTTGAGGGGTCGCTAGATTTTTTGTTGGCCGGTTTAGTAGTTGTTCGAAATGGTTGGCCCATTGTTTAATTTTGTCATTTGTATCAGTGATAAGTTTTCCATTCTTGTCTTTCACTGTATCGATGTTTGGGGCTTTTGTTCCGGTTAGTTTCCTTACAGCATTGTGTATTCTTCTCGAGTTTCCGTTTACATCTGCCGCAATGAGATCATCAGCGATGGTCTCGTAGAAGTTCTTTTTATCTACCCTGACCGACCGTTTGATGTCCCTGGAAATGTTTTTTTTTGGATTTTGCTGTCCTGGCCCTGGTTCGTTTTTCCACCAGTTGTAGGGTCGTTGGCGAGATCCAAGGGTTCCGGATTGACTTCTTTTTGGGAATGTTCTTTTCCGTTGATTTTGTCAGCGCGTCTTTGATGCCCGTCCAGTAGCCATTGACGTCGCTTTCGTTTTGCAGGCTACCCAATGTGCGGTTTAGATCCTTGCGAAAGGCGTCGGAGACTTTTGGGTTTCTAAGTGTGTTGACATCATGTCGGAAAGATTTGGGGGCTTTTGTGTATACCTTCAATTTGACCTTCAGCTTGGCTTTGAGCATCTTGTGGTCAGACTGAATTAGGCAGTTTTTTTGGCCCACCGTGCGGACATCATCTATACCAGATCTCCATCGTCTGGATATCAGGATGAAGTCAATCTGGTTTTGCGTTCTTCCATCGTTGGATATCCATGTTGGGAGTTTGTGCACCGATTTTTGAAACGTGGTGTTCGATAAGACGAGGTTGTTGTTCATTGCGTAGCTGATGAGTCGATCACCATTGCTGTTGCGATCGCCAACGGTGAATTTTCCAATGTTGGCTGCTTCGGAGTTGCATCTACTTCCAATTTTTGCGTTGAAGTCGCCTGCAACGATCATCAGATCCTTTTTTGGGACCAAGCCCGTCAGCTTGGAGAGGTCATCATAGAACTCATCTTTGATTTCGTTTGCTTTGTCTTCAGTTGGGGCATAACTACAGATAATTGAGAGGGGGGCTGGTTTGGCATGGATGCGGATGTAGCATAGGCGTGGTCCCATTGGTCTCCACTCCATAATGTGGTTGGCTAGTTTTGTTTCAACGGCTATACCAACACCATGGAGCCCCTGCTTGTCATCGTTTCCGGAGCAATAAAATTTATAGGAGGGAGTGTCTGCAACATCGTTGATGTTGATGGAGGGGGATCCTTGTAATCGGGTTTCTTGGATGCAGGCCACTTGAATATTCAGTGATTTTAGCGTTGAAGCCATTAGTGCGAGGCTTTCCGGTGGAAGGAGTGTGCGTGTGTTCCAAGTAGCTAGATTGATTTGAGATTTGGAATGATTGACCGACTTGGCTTTGCTCCCCAATGCGGCTGAGTTGGGGGCCCCAGGTACCGCGGGAACCGTAGCTGACAGTGAATTGTTTGATCGAGTTTTCATATGGGTACATGGCTGAATACATCCGAGGGTTCGCCACTCCCTGGGATGCCAGAGCTCCGTTAGCCCCACACTGCTGGCAGCAGTGCAGGTACACCCCTGCACCACGATGAGGAGGAGATGGGTTCTACAGGGCAAGAAATTGGCTTTGCAAAAACAATATCCAACAGTACGTGACTCGATACACGGCGCTCCTGATTGAGATTTCTTGCTATACCTCAAATAAAAGCAGTAATGAGTGAGCTTCACTTGAGCGGATGCAGCTCATGATAATTACACTCACCAATTAGAAAATAGCACAGAAATTCAAAACAACAAAAACACTTTAAGTTCAGAACAAGCTGCATAAATAACAACACGAACAATTTTGAACAAATAAATTGCAACTTGATTATAAAAAAACATAGCCAACAGAGTTGGAAAAGAGTCAATGAACTCAAGTAAACAGAAAAATAATGCCAATTTTTTTTTTGAAAAATTCTCAAAATTCGAACTAAAAGGAAAAAAACAGCTTCTCTTGAAGGCTTTTCCAGAAACAAATACGAAAAGAAAATCATCATTTCGTTCATTGACTCACAAATACAGTTGTTGTTTTTGTAGTATTTCACCAATTTACTAATTCTACGTGTACCACACAATTGAACAAGCTGCATCAGTTAAGACCTGCGCACAGTAGCTGTAGCGCAAATGAAACCCGATTTGCACCAGAAATGATTTTGTCTACCAAGTTGCTTCCAGGACAAATTCGAGTACTCGATTTGATAACAACTATTAATCGCAAGTAGAAGAGAGAATGATTGATAAACACTCGCATCAGTGAAATGGTTATTATGAGACCAGATTATTTCGTACCTCTCAAAAGAGGGTAGTTTAACTATTCCGAAACGTAAAAAGTGTTCACCAGTGCCAAAATTTCATGATTTTCGGCAATAATGAAGATTTTTTGTGGGACTGCTTTTTTTTTTTTATTAGCCCCCGGCCTGCTCAGTGCAGGACCAACCGTGGGGGAGGGGGAGATGTCATCCATTTTGCCGCAGCCGGTCCCACCTTGAGGAGGCGGATGACACTGGGACCCCTCCAGCCGTGACCGAAGCGGGATTCGAACGCATGACCCTCGTGTTAAGAGAGATGTGCCTAACCCACTTGACCACGACTGCTCCTAACCCACTTGACCACTAACCCACTTGTGGGACTGCTGTACTGCCTCCTCTAAAGCTATACAAAAGTCCAATGAACTAACATTCGTTAAAATCTGTACCACCTAAGCTTATCGGGAATAGCAAAACATACAACATGCAAGGATCAAGCATGCATAATGTTTAACAAACCGTCAGTTTTATGTCGTCCGATGCAAACTAGAAAAGCGAATGAAAAGTTGTTTTCTTTTAATAGAAAAGATAGCCAACAGCTAGTTGGAAAGCGTTAACGGAGAGATCAACCTTACCTCTTTCAAAACGTGAAGGTCGATCAGTTTCTGCTTGGGCGTCTTGAGGTGACCTTGTTCTTCAAACAAGTACCATACTTTTGGCGAAATGGAGGCGAAGTCCAGAGGAGTTCTACCACAGCTATCCTTGATAGAAACATCCGCTCCACCGTTAAGCAAAATCATAGTCACCTAAACGAAAAAAAAGGAAAACTGTTGGATTGTCTGTGACTTCATTAAAATACCAATTATTTGAGCAAATAAGCGATTTTAGTGAATTTAATCCGAATACTTTTGAATTTTAAGCGTCTACTAGCGGTCCCACGGCATTTTAAGCGGCTTCTGTAAATTGACACTGTTTGCCTTTATAACGGAAAAAAATGTTCTTGCACAAACTCAGATGTTCGCAGCATCCACATATCCAGATAACACGCCCGTCTCCTCGGATAAACTCAGATGTTTGCAACATCCACATAACCAGAAAAAAGCCCGTCTCCATCAATCAATCGGTTCTCAAAAAAGCTATTAACTCAAGCTATATAACTTAAAACTACTTCAAAGTTTTCCAGCTTGAACCAATTCTTCTTTCTAAGAAATCCATTCACGTGATTAAGTTTTGAATACCTGGAATCGATTCGCAAATAGTTAATTTTTCTGAGCAAGCTATTCAAGCGATAAAACTCTTGAAATAATTAAAGAATCTGCAACCAATGGAACATGGAAATACATTCGAACGATACGACTTAAAAAAAGACATTCCCTGGAATCTATTTGCAACCATTGACAACTTTTTCCGCGAGCAATTACAGGGATTATCTAGAAAGTTTTTAGAGTTGTTTCATTGCGTGATTCGGTTTTTAAAAAATCAAGTGTTTTTGAGCAAGCTACTCAGTTGCGGAAGCTTCGAAATATGTCAATCTTTTACAGACAGCAAAGCAGTTCGCAAAAACTAGAGTTTTTTTGCTAAGCACTCTATTGAAGCAAAAAAAACTTTGAAGCAACAAAAACTCTAATTCTTCCATAGAGCAAATCGGTTCGCGAAAAAGTTCAGTTTTGTTAGCAATTTTCCAAAGTTAAGCTATTCAAGTCATGAAACTTTGCAATAATCCATGTGAACTCATAGAGCGAATCAGTATGCGCAACGTTTAGATTGCTCGAAGCAAGGTGGTGTTAGAGCGATCATACTTTCACAATTTTCAAGTAACTTCCGGAAGCAAATCAATTCGCAATAAACTTGAAATTTCATTGAAGCGATGAAATTTTGAAACAGTTCAAGCTGTTTTAAAGAACGAATCGGTTCGCGAAAAATTTAAACTTTTAAAGTAGGCTAATCGAGCTCGGAACCTCGAAAATTTTCAAGTTGTACCTTAAGGCTCATAGAGCGAATCGGTTTGCAAATTTTTTTTTGAAAGCAAGCTATTGAAGCCAAGAACTTTTGAGATAATTTACTCATTTTATGAGCAGATCGGCTCACAAAAAAATCCACGTTTTGCTAAGCAAACAACTCATAGGAGGAAATTTTGAAGCATTTTAAGTTATTTTATTGAGCGAAGCGGTTTCCAAAAAAAGGTGTTCAAGCGATGAAACAAAAAAATGTCAAGTTATTTCTTAGAGCGAATGGGCTCGCGATAAAGAGAATATTATCAAAAGAATCTAATAAAGCCAGGAAAAACTGAATTATTTTGAAATTGTTGCGTAGCATTGTTTGCTTAGCAAAAAGGTTAAGTTATTCAAGAAAACTATTGAAGCGATGAAACTTTGAATACTTCAAGTTATTTGATAGAACGAATTAGTTTGCAGAAAGATTTATAAGCAAGCTATCAAAGCTTCCAAACATTTCAATTTAATTTATATACAGAACAAGCACGAAAAAAAATCAAGCTTTCTACCAGACTAATCAAGCGAGGAAACTTAGAAAAACTTCAGTTATTTCATAGACCAAATCTGCTCGCAAAAAGTAGCATTTTTCTGAGCAAACTATTTAAGCAATGATAACTTGGAACAATTTGAAGTTGTTTTCATAGCTTGGATTGCGTCGCAAAAAGTTAGTTATTGCAGAAAACTCTGAAGTTATTTCATGTAGAGAATCGGTTGGCGAAAAGTTTTTTCTAAATGAAATGTTCAAGCAATAAAACTTTAAAAAACGTCCACTTGTTTCATAGATCGAATCAATTTGCGAGAAAAAAAAGTTTTTCTAAGCAAGCTATTGAACCAATGGAACTTTTGAAATATTTCAAAGTTGAATTGCTTGGCAAAACCGTTTTTAAGTTGTTCGAGCGAGCTATTGAAGCAATAAAAATTCAAAATTCTTTTCGAGCTTAGATTGTTTCGCAAAACAGTTGAAAGTGCTCAAGCGATATATGTGAGCAATGAAACTTCGATATCTAGAACATTCTTGCATTCTCTTAAACACTGAGCCTAGAGAATTTTCTTAAGCATTGAGCTCGACCAAGTTAAAATGTTGCGCTCAGATAAACATTGTGTCCATAGCGCAATCAGATTTTCATTTAATATTTAACTAGCAAGCCTGTCTGCAATGACTAATAAGCTCGCAAAAAATATTTGTTGTTCTCATCGAGCTATTAAAGCAATCAACTTAAAAGTTAGAAAAGTTTTCTGAGAAAGCTGTTCCTTCGATGAAAAATTTGAAATATTTCAAGCTATTTTATCGAGCGAATCGCATGGTGAACCATTCAAGTCTTTCTAAGCGAGCTATTCCAGCTCAGAATCTTTCAGCTAAGTAATCTGTCCTTCTCAGTTCCAATCGTTTTGCGAAAACTCGAGGTTTTTCGATTGAAGCCCTTAAAGCTATGATACTTTGAAATATTTTGAGTTATTTCATAGAACCAATCGGATGACAAGAAGGTAGGTTTCTCTAAGCAAGCGTTTAGTTAAGAAATTTTTAAATATTTCAAGTTAAATTATGAATGGAATCGGATGAAATAAATTTTTGGTTATTCTAAGTTAAATAACTTTCAAGTTATTTTTGGACCAAAAAGGTTTACAGGAAATGTGTTTCTAAGCAAGCTATTCGAACTAATCGGATGGCAAAATGTTCGAAATTTGACATCGGAGCCATTTTATTGATGGAATGTTGAACTATTCCAAATGATTTCATAGAGCAAATCAGTTCGGGAAAGTTTCTCTTATCCCAGATATGAAAGTTTGGAATATTTCAAGTTCTTTGATAGATCAAATTTGCAGTTAAAAATTAAGTTTTTCTGGGGAAGCAATTTAAGCTTTAAAACGTTATTTCACAGAGCGAATCAGTTCGCGAAAAGTTGATTTTCTCTAAGCAAGCTATTCAAGAGATGAAAAGACAAAAAAAATTCAAGTTAATTCATAGATCGAATCAATTCGCAAAAAAGTTAAGTTTTTCTTAAGAAAGCTATTCAAGCTACAAAACTTTAGAAGTTACTCAAAAACCGCATCGGCTCGCAAAAAAATTCAAGCTACAAAAACTTGAAAGATGTCGAGTTATACATTACACCGAATTGGTTTGTTGAAAGGTAGAGTTTTCCTAAGAATGCTGTTCAAACTACAAAAACTTGAAATACTTCAAGTTATCTCATTAAACAAACGCAAAAAAAATCAAACTTTTCTTAAGCAAACAATATAAGCTATGAAATTATTCAAGTTACTTTTTAAACTGAATCGCTTCGCGAAAAATGAAGTTTTTCTAAGCAAGACTTACCACCTCAAGTTAATTCAATGCTTCAAGTTAATTCAATGACCGCATTCGGTTCGGTTCACAAAAAACTAAAGGTTTTCTAAGCAAGCTATGAAACTTTGAAGCATTTCAAATTATTTCATAGACCTAATCATTTTGCAAAGAAAACTTCAGCTTTTTTAAGCAAACTATTAAAGCTCCAAATTTTGAAACACTTCAAGTTACTTTATTGACCAAATCAATTCGCAAAAACAAAAAAATTTCAAAGCAAGCTATTTGGGCTATGATACTTTGAAACATTTTAATTAATTTGACAAAGCAAATAGTTTTACTAAAAGTTGAAGTTTTTCTAAGCAAGCTTTTCCAGCTCTGAAACTTTGAAATGTTTAAATTAACTTCATTGACCAGTTTTTTTCAGCAAGCTACTTAATTTGGGATACTTTGAAACATTTCAAAATATTTCATAGACCGAATCGCTTTGCAGCATTTTTAAGCAACCTATGCAAGCTATGAAAATTTGAAATAATTCAAAATATTTCAGAGAAATAATCGTTTTGCGAGAAGTTCAAGCTTCCTTCAAGCAAGGAATTTTGGAAAATGTCAGGTTAAGTCACAGCGCAAATCGAATGGCGAAAAAATTCAATTTTCTAAGCAAGCTATTCAAGCGATGAAAACATGAAAAATTTCAAGTTATTTCATAACGCAGATCGGTTTGCAAAAAGCTAGTTTTCTAAGAAAAGAGGAGGCTATTTTTAGAGTTCATTTCAGAATTAAATCCATCTGAAATAAAAACATTGGACAGGTATTGTCCATCCTTGAAAATCGATCGAGATCACCTTGTCTAAAGAAATGAATTCACAAAGCAAATTGTTTTACTAAAAAATGAAGTTTTTCTAAGCAAGCTTTCCCAGCTCTGAAACTTTGAAATGTTTCAAGTTACTTCATTGACCAAATCAAATCGCAAAAAAAACAGTTTTTTTTTTCAGCAAGCTACTCAATGTAGGATACTTTGAAAACTTTCACAATATTTCAAAGACCGAATCTCTTCGCAAAAGACTTTTGATCAACTTATCCAAGCAATGAAATTTTGAGATATTTAAAAATTTAAAAAAAAAAATGATCGTTTTGCGAAAGTTCAAGTTCTTCTGAGCAAGCGATTCATGCGGGGAACTTTGAAAAATGGCAGGTTAATTCACAGAGCAAATCGACTGACGAAAAAACTCGGTTTTCAAAGCAAGCTATTCAAGCGATGAAAATATGAATAATTTCAAGTTATTTCACAACGCAGATCGGTTTGCAAAAAGCTAGTTTTTCTAAGAAAAGAGGTGGCTATTTTATTGAACTCGTGTCAAAATTAAATCAATCTGAAGAAAAAAACTTGGAAAAAAAATAGACAGGTATTGTGTAGTCTTGAAAATGGATCGAGTTCATCGTGTCTAAAGAAATGAAATTTCGTCTGAAAAAATTCTGGAACATTCGAAATATTTGAAGTTATTTCATAAACTGAATCAGTTCACAAATT